AGCTCACTAGTTCTAGTATCTATCTCTTCAATTCTATTCCTTTGCCCTTTCAATGTATTGTCCATTTCTGATATTCTATTATTAATCGTTTGGACCTCATTCTGTAGGTTTTGAATTGTTTCCAATGCTGTATCTATCTTACTTGATTGTTCCTGTAGCATTATTCTTTAAAGAGATGAAAAAACTAATCACTAACTACATATGGAAAAGAAACAGACCCTCGATAACCAAAGCATTATTAAAAAAAGAAGAAGAAAAGTAGGAGGTGTTTCACTTCCCAATCTCAAAACCTACTACACAGCCATAGTAGCAAAGCAGCCTGGTACTGGTTATAACAAAAGGCACGTAGATCCGTGGAACAGAATTGAGGAACCTGAAGTAAATCCATCCACCTACGGTCAGTTGGTCTTTGACAAAGGGCCAAAATGAATTAAATGGGGAAGAGAGAATCTCTTTAACAAATGGTGCTGGCAAAATTGAAATTCCATTTGCAAGAAAATGAACCAAGACTTATGTTTCACAATGTGTACAAAAATGAATTCAACATGGATTAAAGACCTAAATGTAAACCCTTGACCTATACAGATCATCTGTGAAAAAATAAGGACAAACTTAGGAGCTATGATACAGTGTCCGTCATCACTGAAAACACACAACCAACAGACAAAATAGATGACTGTGACCTCCTAAAAATTAGACACTTCTGTGCATCAAAGGAGTAAAAAGAGAGCCCACAGACTGGGAAAATGCTATTTGGCAATAACTTATCAGACAAAGAATTATTCTCTAAAATTTATAGAACACTGGAACGACAAAACAAGAAGATAAATAATCCAATGAAAAGTGGGCAGAGGACATGACCAGACACTTCACCAAAGAAGACTTTAAGACAGCCAATAAACATATGAAAAAATGCTCTTAATCACTAGTTATTAGAGAGATGCAAGTCAGAACAGCAGCTAGATATCATCTTACTCCACCAACAATAGTAAAGTTCCAAAATCCAGAAAATAACAAATATTGGCAAGGAGGTGGAGACACTGGGATGCTCCCACACCACTAGTGTGATGTTAAAATGGTGCAACCACAGTGGAAAACAGTATGGCACTTTGTCAAAAAGTTGGAATTAGAAATA